AGGATATGACTCCAAAGCTTCCTTATCGTATAATACGTCGCAACGCTCTCTTATACTTATTGTTAGCATAAGCGCGAGTATCCGCGGAATTATCGCAGGGTTGTCGCTTAGATTACCAAGGAGCGCGCACGATGCGCAGCGACATGTGCGACAGCAGTCGCATCGGGCAGAACCGCACGCGCGCCATTCGCGCTTCGTACTCGTTGCACAGGGAGTTCACTATCTCTCACTCAATTTAAGCCTCATCCGCCGTAAGCGGATCGGCCAAGCTGGCCTTTTAACGTCGGATAGTCTCGCCTCTCGCGGCTGCGCGGCATAGACGCCTATAACAAACATTATCCGCCATAATGCCCCCGTGTAAACATACCTACCTACGTAGCGCGTCTGCCTCCCGATTCCTTTCCCCGTTGCATCTCCCTTTGCCGACCGGATAAAAACGCATCTCGAAGTTTATTTAAGCGTTTAACGCCGAGTTAAGTTTCACGCGGCTAAGCCGACTTTTCGGCACGCTTCCTCCCCACTCCATCAGATACTTCCGGTTCAGCACGTGAGCGTCCATTTCGCAGCACCTTATACATCTGTCTTTGTCGCTCATTAGATACCCTGAAACCTTTTATCTCGCTTTCGCTAAATTTCAAATTACATCCATTTTATTTTAAGTATAGTACAAGTGTATACCTCTAGACTCCAACTTTTTGTCGCGTTTCACGTGCCGTAACTTAGAGAGACGATTAAACCAATCAACCGAGTCAACAGTCGTATTTTTATTATGTATGTTGAACCGTGATGTTAATACGTATTGATTAATGTCGATTGATGCGATTTTAATTTTCCCTTAACGAGTGTCGTGGACGATCGGCTCGCACGAATTTCACAATTATCGCAAAATAGTTATTTATTTATCTTTATTTTATAAGTAAAGGTTTAATAAGCATTTTCGTAGCTCAGATTCAGATTTTTCGCGACGTTTCCATTTGGGTTTTGAAACAGGACAAAACTAGCCATTTATTCGCTCTCCACACCTTTTCAAGAAAGTGGGAACCTGTCTTTTGTTGGTATCAGGTAGAAAAAAGTGACAGCTCAGAGACAGAGGAATAAAAGAGAATTAACATGGGTGAACAACAAGGATAAGACGATACACGGGGGTACTCGGGTGATGTTTCCGAACACAGCCTTATAGATTCAGAACCTGTCTGAACGTCAAGAAATCAGTAACTATCGAGTAGTGTCTCCGTGAGGATCGGTTGTGTATAATGCAGTGATAGATATTAAATATTATACAGATATTATTGTGATTGTGCCAAAGAGAATGTTAGTACAGTTCATCGACAACTGTATTTGAGATTTCATTCTTGCTCGAAATTATTTCATTAACACCGATCGACAGTGGTATACATTCCTAAATTTATAGCCCTTTATTCTTTTTCTTGAATTGTTGGCTATATTTGCTTCGTATCTAAACAAATACTATTTTGGACAGTAGGGAAGAAGAAAATTGACGACAAGATCTGACGAATCGAACAGCAGCGGAAAAAATAAGTTATTCCCTAAAGTACCATGTCAATGCTTTATTAATCGTACCTATTAATACATTATACATTATCGAATTCACAAGGTAGGCCAGTGTTGCATAAATAAATAGTTAAAAAGTATTTTATGTATATATATATATATATATATATAACCGATATTTTCAGGAATTAAAATAAAAAAAATATTGAAATTTTTTGCATACGCGTATTTATTCGTGCTTCAAGTAATTCTTCAATTTTTTTGAAGTGATGTGCGTCAATATTGGCTGTGTTCCGATATTTCCTAGAATATGTTACATGTATACTATAGATTTTACGTATATATCGGTAAATATCGGACATACACAGCCATTACGTACATAAGAGTTGCAGACCGCATGCCATGTTATAAAATGCCTGCGACATAAATTGCACTCCTAATCGTCTGAAGTATAGAACAATTTTTTTTATTTATAGAAATATCGTTATATACCAGATCAAAATTAAATTAATACATGCAATATTTTTTTCGCAGATTGTTCGAAATAAAAAATTCATGAAAAATTCAAAATTTTAATTTAAAAAATTTTCAAAGATCACCATTTCTTTATCTTTTTCATTTTAGATTGAGATATAAATACATTTAGATTTAAAAAACTTGGATTGTTTCAAATATTACCCTCCCGATTAGAATCGGCATAATTCATGTCATATATGCTTCATAAGACAACGGTCTGCAGCTCTTACAATATTGACGCTTATATTATTTTAAAAAGTTTGAAGAATTACCTCAAGTTCAATAAATGCGTGTGGAAAACATTAATATTATACATAGCTATGATAAGTTTTTATTTTTACTAAAAAGTAACTTCAAAAATGGAACCTCTATACCTATACTAAAATATTCTATTAAACGATGCTTGGATAATCGAAATTCTGTTGCATCATTTAAAGATCTGAAACAGTTACAATGAATATTCCATTGATTATTACGATCTTTTTATTACAGTCATATATTTCTTCAATTCTTGCGTGAAGCATACAGCCTCTAGTAAAATTTTAGTAACAATGAATTTTTTCCAGATTGTTAGTCTCACAGACTTTATATAAGAATAAACTAGCAATTGTCTATAGTTTTTGTAAAGAGAAACGGTGTTCGAAGGAGGTTAGAGAAGGAAACATTTTCAGGTGTTTTTCTTTCTCGCAGAAACGTACATTGCGCATGTCAATTATGCTAATTCTACAATGAGTTCGTAGACGGTATAATTCTCAATCTTATTGGTGAATCAGAGAAGTTGATCAACCAATTTGTAGGACTAAGATTTTCTTAAAACTGACCAATTTCGATTTTATTCCTTCCTATTAGTCGAGCTAAATGGTTCGCTATACAACTAACAACTCGTAGATGCAAAAAATTATAGTCACGTATTTAGACTGGTTAAAACTTTTAATTTCCGATTACCAACTTAATGTAGAATCAACGTTAAATATACGGTGCGTTAACACTGTATCAGAATTAAAAGTAATATATTGTAGCAAAATAAGATTTTTTGAAAATGTACAATGTAATTAAAAAATATACAAAACAAAATTACGTAAAATGGACGTTTTTTTAATTCATCGATAGGTCAATTGCATTATGCGCATAATGCGATTGATCAATCGATGAATTGAAAAATTCGCCCAATTGTATAGCAAAAGGAATATATCCAATGTATAATATATGTATATCAAGTATGTACTTTTGAATAATTGTATAGAAATAAAAATACGAACATGATATCCTGCTTGTATTACCAATTCATATTTATAAGTCTATGATTAATCTAATATCCAATCCCTAGTCTAAGAGATCTATACATATTCACTGATATATAGGACCTACAGTTTAACGCTAAATCTGAACGAAGCTAGTGATTAAGTCTCTTAGTTACCGATAGAACCATTTTCGTCAATTGCACTAAACGGCAAATTATTCGACGCCTCTTTTGTTACAGTACGTATCTCTAAAAATATAAAATTATAAACAAAGCAAATAAATAAGAAAAAAGTTATTAAAATTTGTTTGTATCGCGAACAAACTGGCGTGAATATGAATCTTAATAATACCACAAGTTATATTCACTATTTGTTCGTTATTCATAACATTAATTTATTTGCAATATTACAACTTATTTGCAATACTACAACTTTTCTGTCTTGTTTTAGAAAAATCCTTGATCAATAAAGTGGCACAACATCGACATTTTTTGAAGAATTATTTTTGAATATATCACCCAATCAATCCACCGTTTTCAAAATTTTCGCCGAAGATATAACATTAAATAACATTAACTAACGTTAAATAACGTTATAATGTTGCCGTTTTATATGGATGAAAAGGAGCTATTCACGCCATCATGTGTAAGATAGTTTATATTTTTGTAAAAATTAACGTTATCTTCCATAATTTGAAAAAGAAATTAAGTTTTTGATTTCTTTACTGTTAAAAAATAAAATAGTAATTTTGACTTAAAGACGTATAGAGGACTTTCTAAGCATGCAAAAATGTTAATTTTAACATTTTTACATATTTCGATCAGAAAGTCTACTATACGTTTTTAAGTTAAAATTTACATTTTATTTTTTTACAACGTGTGTGTAGCCTTTTTGGCGGATAGAAATAGATACTGTATTTCAGTGTTCAATGCTACATACATTTTCAGCATTAATTCTTAAATATAATTAATAGATCTTGAATTTACTCTGAATTTATCCTGAATTTAATTTTAAAGTGAACATTGCAAGTTTGCAATATTCGTCCTTTAGGATTAAGAAGGGAAGGTAGATTATGACCTTTTTTGTACTTTGAATTAATCTTTAGTACACACGATTAGATCATTTGTGTTCTGCGCATTTTTTAAAAATACTAATAGTATTTGACTAAATAATGATCTCTAACCTTTTTTTTTATTATACAATCTTACACATATTTTATAAAAATATTAAAGTACACATAAAAATTACTTAAAAATTAACTTTGACAAAAATGAGCCATTGTATGCAGTAAAGGACAGGAAAATCATTGTGTGTATTAAAGAAAAGAGAATTTTTGTCATTAATAAAAACACGACATGTACAAATAAAAGACCACTCGATAATCCTTCACTTTCCACTTTTGTCCCATACATGTTTTAAAAATGGAGATTTTTCTCAGAGTTCGAAGATTTTGAATAGTTTTATAATTTGCGATGAGTTTTTCTATTTAGATAAAGTTTAATTCGTGGAAACATTGAAAAATTTTAAATCTGAGACGTTGCACTTTATTATCATACTTTTATTTTTATCCCCAAGCCTTAAGGACGATTGTTAGAGCTCTTTATCTGTACTTTTCGCAATAAATTAATTCAATCGATTAATTATCACTCATGAATAACGAAATTTTAAAAATTAAAATTGCAAAAATGATACTCATATGAAATTTTACTAAACATTAATTCTTTTATATAGATCAACGAAGATCTATACTGCGACAGTGCATTCTCGGGAAACTTCACATCAAGATTATCGGAGAGCAGCGCAACGCGGCCATTGTACGCGAACAGCTGGTGGGTGAGCGACCAGAACGAAGGGAGTCACGCGATAAGGGAGCGTGATAACAACGGCGCGGTGGCGGGTGAACTGGTTTCTCGCATCGCGGGCTGCCTGAATATGGCGGGTTACCTGAAGGCGGCGGGCGCAACCTGCGCCTCGACCGGAAACCCTCATCAATACCATCCACACGGTCATCCGATGGGAGTCGGCACCCATCCGCATCCTCACTCGCATCCGCATCCCGGTGCACATCCCGGTTTGCCGTCGCACTTCGCCCTCACCCCGCACGCTCATACGCATCATGCGCTCGAGCATGGACTGGCAGCCGCATTCCCACAAGGTAAAGCTCTTAAATTTTTTCAAGACGAGTTCAAATTTCATTGCTTAAACTCAGTTCTACCGAAAGTTTACAGTTTGTCTTATCGAAAATGAATATTGTAGATTTATGACTTTTAATTATGATTAAATTTGTGCGTCTAATGTCCATTTCTACCAACATATAGATTAACTGTAATCTTGGTTTAATCATTTATCCACTTTTAATTTTTAGAACTAAAGAAAGATAATATAAATTAATCCAAGATTATAAAGTGAATTTACATTGGCAGAAAGCTGGGTTCAACCAATGTAAGATTAACTTTAATCTTGGTACAATTTTCTCTTTTTTTTTAAGTCTAAGAATTAGAAAAAGATAAACAGTAAGTTAAGGGAATCTGGCTTTTATGGACACACGAATCTATCTAATCATAATTAATAATCGTAAATCTATTTATTTTCGATAAGATTAACTGTAAACATTTACCATAATCATAAACTTCATTGAACGGTAATAATTGTCAACAAAACATTAAACTTTATTTAAAATTTTAGAGAAGCTAAGTCAACGGTAAAGTCTATGTTTCTTTACTATGAAAAGTGTGTTAAATTTTCTGATATCTATGGCGTCGAAAATTGAACTCACTGAAATTGATACGTAAGTTAATCTATGCATGACATTTTATGACGGCCAATGGGTTATACGGCATGCAACATTATTTGAAATTGGGATTGATATCGGAATAATCACAAATCATTGAGATAATACTTAAAGAATGGTTAATTAACGTTCTCGAACCGGAGTTAAGATCGAACAAAGCGAATTTTTAACGAGCCAATCGTAGTAACTAATTTAAATACTATGTCCCACTTGCGAGATGTCATACTCGACGTTGAAAAAAAAAAATAGAATTGTCTGCACGTTTCTACTCGAGAATAATGGTAGCTCAGTTATTGGCAATAATGAGACCGAATGTATGTATTCGGGTCGTAATAGCAAGGGATTCGCACGGTTCGATACTGATGTGCATGCGGAAAAGTTTTCACGTAATCGTGAGGTGGCGACAGCGGTACCGTTCTTGGTATCCATGTTTATTAGCCGCATCGTGTTATACGGTTCTGATAATACTTCTCGCGGAAAAAAAGCGTTACATGAACTATGAAATATCGCGAAACGGAGAAAAGATGAGCGAGGTTTCCGATGGTGATCGATCTAGCCGGCTAATCCATTGAAATAAAAGACGAGTATTTAATCTGTGCGACTCGGCGTTACAACAGTGTGACAGATTTGCGTCGTATTCATTCAACAAACGCCGTCGGATAATCTCTCTGCGCTTAAGGGAGGGCTCCACTGGAAATTGCAACTTTTTCGCTTTCTAATAGATTAATTCAATTTTTCGATCATTTTATACGTGCAAGAAATAAATTGTTATGTTAAATTTCAAATTATTTGTGACGTAAGTTATAAGCATTTATATTAAACCAGTTAATAACGAGACATTCACAATTAATTCTGAATCAAATTTTGAACATATATATATATATATATATATATATATATTCATCACATTGCTTTTAATAAATATGAAAATTATAAATTTTTATTTTTTAAATAAGATTTCTATTTTCTTAAATAATTAATTTTAACATTTTATCAAGCCTGATTTCTCTTTCATTAGACTGATATTTTTATGCGTACTGGAAGCAAATGTTTTAAAGCGAAGGAAATTTGACGTAAATTACCCAGCAATTTGATATTCACAGTGCATTCAACAGCAAAAAAAGCTTTCAAAATCTATTGTACACACACAAAATAAATTCCCCCTTTTTATCTTAAGCCTCCCTTACGTTCTATCACGCCCCTAGCATAGCTCAATCTGTGCAGGCCCCTCTTCTTCCATGTATTGCGTACGGATTAAAACTATCATTATTAGCTCATATGTGGATTACATTTAATTTATTAGATATGTTACGTAATTTAGCATTTCAACACGTTGTTAAAAGTATTTCACATGGACGCCATATTCGCCGTTATTGATTGCCATACAAATCGATGCATCGACTGAAGCCATATGAGTGTGTCGAGCAATCTCGGGGCTTCTTAACTATCGTCGTTGCAAGTTGGCAAAAAACACGCATAAAAGTGCATATCCCTTGCAAGTTTCAAATTTCCAAATGAATATTCAAATGTTATATAAACAAAAACGTATACATTTGTTAATACATATATTTATTATGTCTACGTTTATACGGCATTCTTAATTGAATTTAACAACATCTGTAGTTATGAAATTGACCAATTATAGCTATTCCTGTGAAGAATGGAATGATTGGGGTCAGTTTTATGACTATTAAACCCAATTAAAGATGTAAATATAATCTATAAAACACATGCAACATTTTGAATTTTGTTTTTGTAATGGATTGAGGAAGCGTGCTTTGTTCGCTTAGGAATTACGATCGGAATATTTTCGGGACGAGATTCGAGGGAGCTTCGATAACAAGAACAATCGTGAACCACCCATTATGCCTTTCGTGGTCGAACGAAGCTTGGAATGTTCCCCTGCAGAAAATCGCCATTTCCCCCGCAAGCATCTAGTGAATAGAAAATTTCGGAGGATCGGCCATGGCGCGCCAAACAGAAAGAAGTAACGATTTCGGAGAGAAAATTCCCTTCGTGTTCGCGATTCTATTCTCGAAGGTCGTATTGCTGGGTCGGTAATTGACTGCATAAATTTTCCAGTATGCCACAGAACGTGCATAGACGGAAAGAGATCGCGGAAAGAAGGCAGAGTGAGGGTGTGTGTATGTGTATGCTACTGAAAAAGCGAGAGAGAGAGAGAGAGAGTGAGCGAGCACGACGAAGATAGCATGCTTTCGCGTCGCTTTCCTTTAGCGGCACGATTCGGCGGAAAGCAGCATCATCTCGCCTCTCTTTCCCGTCCGTCTTTCACCGTTTCGCTCTCTTTCACCCGCCGCTCGAAAGGGGGTTCGGTGGCGGAGGACCCGGGGTGCCGGGGGCAGAGTGTCGAGGAGATGGAGTGGTCGGAGGGGGAGGGGGGGGGGGGTCGGGGGATGCTTCGGCGAAGAAGAGTAGAGAGAACCATGAGAGTAAGCCGCTTATCAGGGTGGCAGCAGGCAGTATAGGTCCAACCGACGCAGATAGGTGGGTTTCCATGGAAACACGGATCTGTCCGTTAGGTCCCTACGTACCTACGTCCAGCGGCTGCCTCTATCCGTTGTAGGCGTGTATCCGCGCTACACGAAAAGCCGCCGAACGCGAGAGGGACAACGACGCGAGAACGCCGCCGCGGGGTTGGAGGCTGGTGTGGTCCATAGACGGAAATAGAAACAAAGGATGTGGACGGGAGCAGAGTGCGATGATTCGTGCCATTCGAGATTTTTAGAGTTCGTTTGTAAAGCAAACGTCTCATTTATTACGGCCAAGATTCACTTTCCTTCTGATCTTGCAGTTTCTCACGAATAATTCCGCCGAGTCATACATTCTATACGTATACATTGATGTATCAATTTATGGTGACGTGACCTCGTTATTTGAACTCGAAAAAAACTTTGGACAGTTGCATGACGATTAATAATACAATACGAGGTTCTAAATTGTAGGTAAAAGAAAGTTTAAATCTTCCTCTATCAATCGCCGTAAAGTGAAACTTGACTTGCATTTTGTACTTCAATATAGGACGCTTTAGAACTTACGTGTAATTTTTATAGTGTAGGTAAGGGTTCATCTCTTTTTCACACATTCCATTCCTCGTGTATGATGATAATTAGATTTTTCAGCTACGTAGTTATATAATCAGATTTTAGAAGACTTTTCGCTAATTAATTCACGTGATGTTCGTCAACGGTAACGCGTGGATGGAAAGGGCTATTCCGTGTCGTTCGACAGGGCGTTAATTTTAGTCGCGCGTCGATGTTTATTTTGTTATGCAATCGTGCAGGCGAAGATACGATCGCACCCTGATCGGCGAAAGAACGATAGCTTCGGGGGAAAAGTTTGCCGAGGAGACGAGAAGGGATGTGGAAACGTAGGACTCTCTCCAAGACTCGTGGCATGCTGCGAGATACGTGGGAATCGCGTCATGTGGCCACCGCCCTTTCCCATCCACGCTACTATTTGTTGTCGCAGAGAAATTGCCCGTCCACTTAACTTCCTCCTACTCGTCGCGGCGGCGGCGTCGCGGCGCATGAATAAAGACACCGCTGTCGACGATTTCCTCCCGCCGATTGTCAATCGAAGGGGAGCCACGGAACAAGTGATTTTGATCCCGGGCTCATGCGCGACATGCGCTTCTCGAAGTCGCAAGGCGTAATGTATCTATCGTGTAATGTTAAGAGATACATTGTCGTTGGAAGAAGCTCACGGCGGAATAATTTCCGCTCTAAATATTTGACTTAAAGTAAGCTATACGTTCACGCTTAAAAGATATCGCAATATCTAATGTTTGTTGAAATTCTTTTTCGACAATTTAATAACAAACTCCACCTTCTCGAACTCAGTACGTCAGTCTTCTAATTATGTCATTTTGATTTAATTTTTATCTCAACACTATTTTAACTTTTAATCATTTTTGTACATTGAGAAAAATTTCGAATCACTAAATTTTGATCATATCAATAAAAAATTCCGGTTGCTCGCCATGACTGAACATCTCTTTGTTTCGATTAAATGTTCAATTATAATGATCGGAATTCTAACTGATATGTGATCAAAATTTACTGATTGGTTCATTTTTAACTAGAAATTTTGGGAACGTTACATTTAAAGAAAAATTCGTCATTTCAAATTTGTTTGAGAGTAATAGATAATTCGCTTGATATATTTGCGTTGAGCACGGCTTAAAGCCGAAACATTCGTTTATCACGATACCCTTCATTGCACTTATAATATATATTTTAAAAAATAAACAATAATAAATAAATTCTCGAAATAAGTATGTCAACGAAATGAAAAAGGTATAATAGGAATGAGCGCTGTAGACTGTGCATAATCATATGTATAAA